CTCCCAGGACTAAGCCTATGAAAGAAGGCTTACTCTGTTGATGTGGCCAATGCTAGTGGGTTGCAAAGTAAAGCCTTTTTTGGGTGTTCACTCGAAACTCCCGGGAGTGTTCAAAAAAAAACAATGTCCTCAGACTTATTTGTTGTGCTGTGGAGGGCAAAGTAAGGCATGGGTCACTAGAGATTTTTTCTAGACTGGTTACACCATGCATTTGCCCCCACTGTGAAAAATTACCTAACTGAAAAGAAATTAGACCTTAAGTGCCTCCTGGTATTAGACAATGCTTCGGGTTTCATCCTTCAAAACGGGGCAGAGGGGCTTTCTGCAAAAATGAGCTTCATTAAGGCCCAAGTTTTTGCCTCCTAATCCCATCCTCTCCTGCAGCCCATGGACCAGCAGGTCATTTCCAACTTCAAGAAACTGTACACAAAAGCTATTTTTTGAAAGGTGCTTTGTAGTGACCTCAGAAACTCAATTGACTCTAAGAGAGTTTTGGAGAAGATCACTTTAGCATCCTCAATTGTGTAAACATTATAGGTAAGGCTTGGAGGAAGTGACTAAAAGGACCTTGAACTCTGCTTGGAAGAAACTGGGGCCCAGAATGTGTAGACAAAAGGGATTTTGAAGGGTTTGAGGCTAACCCTGGGAATCCTATGCCAGTTGAGGAATCCATTGTGGCATTGGGGAAGCCCTTTGGGGGTTTGGGAAAGTTAGTGTGGGGGATGTGGAAGAGTTGGTGGAGGAGCAATGAAGAACTAACCACTGATGAGCTGCTAGATCATCTTCAACAGCAAGAGGCCACATTGAGGAAACTGCTTCGGAGGAGGGGATAGAGAAATTGAAGAAGTTCCCTACTTCAAAGATTAAGGAAATGTGTGCAATGTGGCTTAAAGTGCAAACCTTTTTGATGAAAATCACCCTCACACAGCTATTGTAAGCCGTGTTGGCAACCTGTACACTGACAAGTTGGAAACACTTTGGGAAAAGTCATAAAGGGAAAACGGAGGTACAGGTATCTATGGACAGATATGTTGTGCGACAGAGGTCCAGTGACTCTCAAGCTGGTCCTAGTGGCATTAAAAGAAGAAGGGAAGTAACCCTGGAAAAGGACTTGCCATCTCAAGTCCTAATGGAAGGGGATTCCCCTTTTAAACACTAACACCATCAGCATTCTCCCCTCCTCCCATCCCATCAATCATCACCAGATCTTCAATAAAGGTAAGTGTCATGTAACTGTGCATGTCTTCTTCAGTTTGTGTGTATTAAAATTAATATTTCATGTGGTAAAAACATTTTTTTGTTCATACTTTGGGGTGTCAGGAACGGATTAATTTGATTTTCATTATTTCTTATGGGGAAAATTAATTCGCCTAACGATAATTTCGCCTAACGTTGAGCTCTCAGGAACGGATTAATAGCGTTAGGCGAGGGTCCACTGTAACGCTGAGGTCGCTAACTTTATGAGAGCATAATTCAGTAAGTTTTCCATCAAATTTCATTCTTTTGTTGTCATTACCAACGGAAAAAGATTCTCTATCATTTCATAAGATTTTTTTTTTTTTTTCAAAAATTTTTCGACACCAGGAGACACCTCAAGATTTGGGGTTTCGACAGTCAAGGGGTTAAATACTATAATAAAATTGGATTTTGTTAACTATTTCATTACAAAAAATCAAGCTAACTTACTTTAAATATGTTTTTTTTTTTTTTTTTTTCCAACAAGTCGGCCGTCTCCCACCGAGGCAGGGTGACCCAAAAAAAGAAAGAAAATCCCCAAAAAGAAAATACTTTCATCATCATTCAACACTTTCACCACACTCGCACATTATCACTGTTTTTGCAGAGGTGTTCAGAATACAACAGTCTAGAAGCATACACATATAAAGATACACAACATATCCCTCCAAACTGCCAATATCCCAAAACCCCTCCTTTAAATATGTTATAGATTATTAACAGTAATGATACAAAATTAATTTTCAGTAACAAGCCTCTGTCTTAAGACATGTGCATACCTTCACCACTTTCCTGTTGACTTGCATACAACATTATATTTCCAAACTTGCTGAGGTCCTGAACAGTAGAAAGGAAACCACCTCCAGCCCATTTATAGGAGTTGTCAACATATGGGGCGTTCTTCAACTTCCCAAGTTTATCACGAACATAGTACCTACAAAGAATAGAGTACAAAATATATTCACAAAAACACCATATCAGAACATGTGTGCATAGAATGCATTGAGTATAGGTACATATAAGTTAGTTTTAAAAGTGATCACTATTTCAAAACATCAACATGCAAGGAAAAAGTAAGTAGAGTATAATAGTAATCTACGTAAGGGAATGTACGAGAGTATGGTGGTACCAACACTCTTATATGAGTGTGAAGCATGGATTGTAAATGCAGCAAGGAGACTGGAGGCAGTGGAGATGTTGTCTCTAAGGGCAATATGTAGTGTAAATATTATGCAGAGTATTCGTAGTGTGGACATTAGGAGGAGGTGTGGAGTTACTAAAAGTATTACCTAGAGGGCTAAGGAAGAATTGTTGAGGTGGTTTGGTCATTTAGAGAGGTTGGAACAAAGTAGAATGACTTGGAGAGCATATAAATCTGTAGTGAAAGGAAGGCAGGGTAGGGGTCATCCTGGGAAAGGTTGGAGGGAGGGGGTAAAGGTGGTTTTGTGGGAGATGGGCTTGGACTTCCAGAAGTGTGCATGAGCGTGTTCGATAGGAATGAATGGAGATGAATGATTTTTGGGACCTGACAAGCTGTTGGAGTGTGAGCAGGGTAATTTTTTTATGAAGGGATTCAGGGAAACTGGTTAGCCAGACTTGAGTCCTGGAGGTGGGAAGTACAATGTCTGCCCTTTAAAGGAGGGGTTTGGGATAATGGCTGTTTGGAGTTACATCTAAACTCTCATATCTGGGCACCTCTGCGAAGACAGTGATTATGTATGATTTTTTTTATTATCACACCGGCCGATTCCCACCAAGGCAGGGTGGCCCGAAAAAGAAAAACTTTCACCATCATTCACTCCATCACTGTCTTGCCAGAAGGGTGCTTTACACTACAGTTTTTAAACTGCAACATTAACACCCCTCCTTCAGAGTGCAGGCACTGTACTTCCCATCTCCAGGACCAAGTCTGGCTAACCAGTTTCCCTGAATCCCTTCATAAATGTTACTTTGCTCACACTCCAACAGCACGTCAAGTATTAAAAACCATTTGTCTCCATTCACTCCTATCAAACTGCTCCCATGCCCGCTGGAAGTCCAAGCCCCTCGCACACAAAAACCCCCTTACCCCCTCCTCCAACCCTTCCTAGCCCACCCCTACCCCGCCTTCCTTCCACTACAGACTGATACACTCTTGAAGTCATTCGTTTCGCTCCATTCTCTCTAAAATGTCCCAACCACCTCAAAAACCCTTCCTCAGCCCTCTGGACAACAGTTTGGTAATCCCGCACCCCCTCCCAACTTCTAAACTACGAATTCTCTGCATTTTATTCACACCACACATTGCCCTCAGACATGACATCTCCACTGCCTCCAGCCTTCTCCTCGCTGCAACATTTCATCACCCCCGCTTCACACCCATATAAGAGCGTTGGTAAAAACTATACTCTCCCTACATCCCCTCTTTGCCTCCAAGGACAAAGTTCTTGTCTCCACAGACTCCTAAGTGCACCACTCACTCTTTTTCCCCTCATCAATTCTATGATTCACCCATCTTTCATAGACCCACGCTGACACGCCCTCCCAAATATCTGAATACGTTCACCTCCTCCATACTCTCTCCCTCCAATCTGATATTCAATCTTTCATCACCTAATCTTTTTGTTATCCCATAACCTTACTCTTTCCGTATTCACCTTTTAAATTTCTTCTTTTGCAAACCCTACCAAATTCATCCCCCAATCTCTGCAACTTCTCTTCAGAATTCCCAAGAGCACAGTGTCATCAGCAAAGAGCAGCTGTGACAACTCCCACTTTGTGTGTGATTCTTTATCTTTTAACTCCACGCCTCTTGCCAAGCCCTCGCAATTTACTTCTCTTACAACCCCATCTATAATATATTAAACAACCACGGTGACATCACACATCCTTGTCTAAGGCCTACTTTTACGGAAAAAATTTCCCTCTTTCCCACATACTCTAACTTGAGCTCACTATCCTCGTAAAAACTCTTCACTGCTTTCAGTAAACCTACCTCCTACACCATACCTTGCAACATCTGCCCCATTGCCCCCCTATCCACCCCGTCATACGCCTTTTCCAAATCCATAAATGCCACCCAAAAACCTCTTTAGCCTTATCTAAATACTGTTCACTTATATGTTTCACTGTAAACACCCGGGCCACACACCCCCCTACCTTTCCTAAAGCCCCCTTGTTTATCTGCTATCCTATTTTTTCGTCTTACTCTTAATTCTTTCAATTTTTAACTCTACCATCACTTTACCAGTACACTCAACAGACTTATCCCCCCATAATTTTTGCACTCTCTTTTATCCCTTTGCCTTTATTACAAAGGAACTATGCATGCTCTCTGCCAATCCCTAGGTACCTTACCCTCTTCCATACATTTATTAAATAATTGCCCAACCACTCCAAAACTATATCCCCACCTGCTTTTAACATTTCTATCTTTATCCCATCAATCCCGGCTGCCTTCCCCCCCTTTCATTTTACCTACTGCCTCACGAACTTCCCCCCACTCACAAACGGGCTCTTCCTCACTCCTACAAGATGTTATTCCTCCTTGCCCTATACACGAAATCACAGCTTCCCTATCTTCATCAACATTTAACAATTCCTCAAAATATTCCTTCCATCTTCCCAATACCTCTAACCCCTCCATTTAATAACTCTCCTCTCCTATTTTTAACTGACAAATCATTTGTTCTCTAGGCTTTCTTAACTTGTTAATCTCACTCCAAAACTTTTTTATTTTCAACAAAATTGTTGATAACATCTCACCCACTCTCTCATTTGCTCTCTTTTTACATTGCTTCACCACTCTCTTAACTTCTCTCTTTTTCTCCATATACTCTTCCCTCCTTGCATCACTTCTACTTTGTAAAAACTTCTCATATGCTAACTTTTTCTCCCTTACTACTCTTTACATCATCATTCCACCAATCGCTCCTCTTCCCTCCTGCACCCACTTTCCTGTAACCACAAACTTCTGCTGAACACTCTAACACTACATTTTTAAAACCTCCCCATACCTCTTCGACCCCATTGCCTATGCTCTCATTAGCCCATCTATCCTCCAATAGCGTTTATATTTACCCTAACTGCCCCCTCTTTTAGTTTATAAACCTTCACCTCTCTCTTCCCTGATGCTTCTATTCTCCTTGTATCCCATCTACCTTTTACTCTCAGTGTAGCTACAACTAGAAGTGATCTGATATATCTGTGGCCCCTCTATAACCCTGTACATCCTGAAGTTACTCAACAGTCTTTTATCTACCAATATAATCCAACAAACTACTGTCATTTCGCCCTACTTTCATATCGTGTATACTTATTTATCCTCTTTTCTTAAAATATGAAATTACCTATAACTAAACCCCTTTCTATACAAAGTTCAATCAAAGGGCACCCATTATCATTTACACCTGGCACCCCAAACTTACCTACCACACCCTCTCTAAAGTTTCTCCTACTTTAGCATTCAAGTCCCTACCAAAATTACTCTCTCACTTGGTTCAAAGGCTCCTATACATTCACTTAAATCTCCCAAAATCTCTCTCTCTCCTCTGCATTCCTCTCTTCTCCAGGTGCATACACGCTTATTTGACCCACTTCTCGCACCCAAACCCTTTACTTTAATCCACATAATTCTTAAATTTACACATTCATATTCTCTTTTCTCCTTCCATAACGATCATTTAACATTACTGCTACCCCTTCCTTTGCTCTAACTCTCTCAGATACTCCAGATTTAATCCCATTATTTCCCCCCACTGAAACTCTCCTACCCCTTCCCAGCTTTGTTTCGCTTAGGGCCAGGACATCCAACTTCTTTTCATTCATAACATCAGCAATCATCTGTTTCTTGTCATCCGCACTACATCCACGCACATTTAAGCAACCCAGTTTTATAAAGTTTTTCTTCTTCTCTTTTTTAGTAATTGTATACAGGAGAAGGGGTTACTAGCCCATTGCTCCCGGGATTTTAGTCGCCTCATACACACGCATGGCTTACGGAGGAAAGATTCTTTTCCACTTCCCCATGGACAATAGAAGAAATAAAAAAGAACAAGAGCTATTTAGAAAAAGGAGAAAAACCTAGATGTATGTGAAGTGTGACCAAAGTGTAAGTAGGAGTAGCAAGATATCCCTGTTATCTTAGCGTGTTTATGAGACAGAAAAAGAAACCAGCAATCCTACCATCATGCAAAACAGTTACAGGTTTTTGTTTCACAGTCATCTGGCAGGACGGTAGTACTTCCCTGGGTGGTTGCTGTCTACCAACCTACTACCTAAAATTAGGTATGAATGATGTATGAATGATGATGAAAGTGTTGAACGATGATGAAAGTGTTTTCTTTCTTCATGGATTTTTCTTTCTAATTGGATCACCCTGCCTTGGTGGGAGACAGCCAACATGTTAAAAAAAAAAAATTGTTTTCTCAAGTAAACTTTTCATTGCACATTTTCTAAGATATAATTCACAAATATGAATTCTGTTATACAGGTGTCCCTTACTTTATGTTATAGTTGTGTTCTTGGCCAATGATGCAAAGTGAAATCACATATAGCAAACCCATTGTAACATAATACACACAATACACAAATTATTAAGGGATTATAATATAGTTAAGCTTTCATGGATTCCCTATCACAGAGGCCTCCAGGAGCATAACAAGGGTGATAAATTAACTAAAAAAAAAAAAAGCATTAAATAAAGAGAATGTTTGCTAGTTCCTTTGTGACAATATTCAAGAAACATTGACAGAAAGGAACTAGCAAATGAGTGAAGTAAGTAAAACAGTACAGACAGGAACTGGTAGAGTCCTTGTCCATCCTTATGAATTTTTTTTTTTTTTTCAACAAGTCGGCCGTCTCCCACCGAGGCAGGGTGACCCAAAAAAGAAAGAAAATCCCCAAAAAGAAAATACTTTCATCATCATTCAACACTTTCACCACACTTACACATTATCACTGTTTTTGCAGAGGTGCTCAGAATACAACAGTTTAGAAGCATATACGTATAAAGATATACAACATATCCCTCCAAACTGCCAATATCCCAAACCCCTCCTTTAAAGTGGAGGCATTGTACTTCCCATTTCCAGGACTCAAGTCTGACTATATGAAAATATGAAATATGTCATGTTAAACATATCTATAGATAAGGTAACAAGGTCAGTAGATTGCAAAATGCTGTTACTGCTAGACTAAAGCTAGGTTATGAATATCTCTGGGAGTACAGTTTGTATGGAGATGTCAATGACATAAAATGCAAAACATGTGGATAAAAACAGGGCCATAACCTGGAGAATTATATCTTAGTGTTCTAACATAAAACTTTTCAGACATACCTCCATTCAAACTCTACAGGATATAGCAAAACACCTCTGTAATCCTCCTTTTTGTTAGTTGGAAATCCCTCCCTCCATGTTAGTTGTGCTGATCAGGCAGCACAACTAACATAGAGGAAGGCCCTAGCCCTGGCTAAGGTGGAGGAATGGGGAAGGGGGAGAGTGGATTGGCTTGGACCACAGGAGAGCCTGTCCTAGACTGGAGGCAGTGTGATACTGACTGACTGGACTGGACTGGACTGACTGACTGACTGCTTAACTCACTGACTGGACTGACTGACTTTCTTCCTCTCTCCTTCCCATACTGCCTATCTTTCTCCCTCCCTCACTGCCTTCCTTCCTTAATCCCTCACAGTCTCCCTCCCACCCTGACTGCCTCTCTCACTGCCTGCTTTCCTCCCTCACTCCTTGTTTCCCTCATTCACTGCCATCCTCCTTCCACTCACTGCCTCCCTTAGCGTTAGAAAGGGCAGGAGAGGACACGAGTTCCCATGCCCTGAACGTGTTTAGGCCTCAACACACTACATATTATAATTCAATATTGGTTAAATATCACGTGCTGTACTTGAATGATGGCATACAAGTGAAAATGCACAAGAAATACTCTTTCTAATCACTTATAGCAAATTCCTGGTAGAAATAGGGTAACCAAGTATAAGCAAAACTGCACAGGGCAAGTCAGCATTGAGAGATTTTTATTATTATAATCATAACCAAGCACTAAACCCATAAGGGTCATACAGTGCTGTAGGGTAGGGTATGCTAAAAGATGTAATGTGCATGATCAGAGACCAGCAAGGGAGAAGATAATAGATGCAGAGCTAGGAAGGGCAGTGAGGAGTGCTAAAGGAAGTGTAAGCAAAGTTGGTGTAATAAATCTGTTGATAAAGTGAAGAAAACCTGTATTTTACACCATATTTCCATGCAAAATAGGTACAGTACATATTACAGTGAAGACAATGCTGATAAGAATGATATCGATAGTAATGATGGTGACGATTTAAGGTTTTCTCACCTGGCTCTGTTATAAATAATAGGTGCATTTTTGTCAAGGTATGTATTTTCAAGGCCTAGATCATAAAAGAGACGAGTTATTACTCGAGTAAATGGTTTACCAGCAGCACCTTCCACCACACCACTCACAACCGTCCATCCAAGAGTCGTATACAAGTAGCTGGAACCTAAAATTGAAAGGATGGTTATCTGATGAATAGAATTAAAGGAAAGCAAAGATTAATGAATCACTTGGGAACAAAAAATATCATGTAGCAAAAGCATTATGCTAATTACTTTTAAAACCCCTGACTAAATGCTGGGAGTACAGTATGCTGTATATAACTAAAATCTTAGAGAACACTTTGAAAATAATCAATGGACAAATATCTATTGAACTGTACTTGTTTCTGTACACTATGCAATATAGTGCAGGTTTTCATAAAAATGTACTGGAAACTGATATTCAGAAGCTATTATTAATGGAGATCCAAAATACTGACACTTATTTAGGAAGATAGTAGAAATCAGTCATGTATTAATACTTATTACCCATTCATATTACATTTATGTTTTCTGACTGTCTAGAAGGGCAACTTTTGCATCAATTCTCACCAAATACACTAAGTTTTTACACATTATCTACCAGCTGGGCTGTGGTTCGTATGTCAGCTCGTGTGTGGCCAACAGTAACAGCCTGGTTGATCAGGCCCTCATCCACCACAAGGCCTGGTAGCAGACCAGACTGTGGGGGCATTGACCCCAAAACCCTCTCCAGATATACTTACTCTACTACTATTATGTACTACTCTACTTACTGTGCATCTGCTCTTTTCTTACTTATTTTGCATGTTTTATCACTGAACACATATTCCTCTTCCAGAAAATTACTCAAATTTTTGTTTGCTATCCATTATACCAATTATATGAATTTCTAAATTTTCAACCATCAGTCTTTTATATACAAGTAAAACCTCAATTAATAACAGAGTAAGAGGAGGTATGAAGGTGGTTAGTAATGATGATTGTGGTGAATAGAGCTAAGATTGTCTTGTCTTGATCACAGCAATAATGGGCAATTATTTAACCAATGGACTTTATATGTTGTCTTCAAACTAAATGACTTAGTGGATTTGTCTAGGATTTTTGCAGTCCTTTAAATCTAGGATTTACTTTATCATTCCCATTTATCCCAATCTCACATTAAAAGTTATTTGCAAACATGTCCAGAAATGAGAGTAAAATAATATGTTATAACTAAACCATAATCTTCAAAGGTACAGTACAGTAATACAGCCTCTCCTCACTTAGCGACATATACTCATTTACCGATGACTTGGACTTACAAAGGGCTCTCTGACCAGTATGCATACCTAAATAATGTATATTAGAGCTGATTTCCTCTATTCTTTTTATTACAATATACGTACCACAAATGTCATAAATGGCGCAAAGGTGGCAGTAAAACAAGATCAAAGATGGTTGACACAAATCCACCACCACTTAGCAATGAATTTGTTTACCGACATGGTCTTAGGAACGGAACTCCGTCATTAAGTGAGGAAAGGCTGTATACACTATTTTTTTATATCACCAACAACATAATATACTGCAATCACATTATTATGGTGTGGGAAAGTGCTATATTTGTAGGGGTCATACAACACTTAGAAAATGGGAGGCAATAAAGGTTGATCTAAGAAATAGAGCACCACATCCAATTTCTTGGACCAAGAGCCCTTCACTAGCATCAATACCCCCATTTACCCTTTGAAGGTACTGTACCCTTAGGTGGTAAATCTTCCCTGATTAACAACCATGTATATTTGATTAGGGTCAACATACAGTACATAACTAAAGCTAATTGCTACAAATACAGGCATACCTCACTAATACCAAAAACTTAAAACCATCTTAAGAGCAAGGCAAGCACTGAAAATAATAAACATGAATATAACTGAAAACCACCATATTAGCAAAGCACTTCAGAGCAAGTGCTGTATTAATGAGGTATGCATGTATATACCCACCAGGTTTGAAGAGAAGGTCATCATTCTGAAACAGCATAAGTGCTTCCTGAATAGTTTCATACTCTTTCTTAATGTAGTATTCTTGCTTGCCAAATTCATACTCTCCTTCCTCTTTTTTGTATTGCCTTGTTGAAGAAGGCTTTTCTTTAGCTTTTCCATTGTGTTCTGTTGATTTCCCATTAGCTACTGTGGTAATACCATCAGTTACTATATTTTCATTCTGCTTCTTGTCTAAGGATTTACTGCCACTAATTGTTTCTTTGGTATTCATTACATTTGCAGTTTTATCTTGTGATTTGTTTGCTTTATCCTCTTTACCTTTCATATTTTCATTTTTTGATACTGTAGTTGTCCTCTTTTTCTCTTCCTCCTTTTCCTTTTTATCAGACCCTCTCGACTTATAATGTCTTATCCCAGATTGATGGCTTATAAGATGCCTCGTAGTTATTGTCACCTGTAGATGAGAATTCAACAATAGACTATATTACAACATACTGACGCATGAAAAATGTCTTTCTTTGCAAGATTCAATGAGCTAGTAGGAATACCTCTCTTGTCGTACCTCTCTCCTCACTAGACTTGAACCTTCTTACTGCTTTTACCTCAGTATGCCTCCTCCTACCTTCGATTTTCTCTCATAAAGGTTCCTCTTTTCTATATCTAAGCAAGGGCACAAATCAGCAGTGTGTCACCAGTAGAAACACTCGGTATAGGAAATGATGAGGTAACAGTCTATGAGGTTCATCAAACTTTGCTTGTTTAGTTAACTGCAAAAGGCCCCACAATACTAAGGTCATTGCCTGATTTGAAATAGCTTCCTAAATAATGCCTGGAGGTACCCATGAGAAAGCAGAGAACATATACCCTTACTCTAAACAGAAATATCAGTAGGAAGTGGGAATAGTCATTTGTGGCTAGCAGCCCTGGTTATATCATCCACTATACAAGCTATGCAAACAAAGCAAGCCACACTATCATGACTATGAACCAAATAAAGTTCATATCTATGCCCTTCTCACTTTCTTGTGGAGCAGAGGAAGAAGGAAAGCCAATCAGCATAACTTATTTCCAGTGGGACCATCTGGTCCCACTGGAAATAAGATGTGATCCACAAGTTGGCTAACACCCAGGTACCTATATTCATATTACTGTTAGGTAAACAACTGCAGTAGGTCTGTAACAGACCTACAGTAAGTAATTGGTATAATCCTATATGCTAACTGCAAAAATCTTAATACAAATTTGAGTTTTTTTTGTGTTGAGGGGCAAGCAGACACACAGTATAATCTGTAGATTGTTATTCATTGGAAAGTGGCCAATACACAAGGGCCATATAGTGCCTAGAGAATGGGGAATTTCAATTCCACAGATCAAGAGCCATTCACAGGCAGGAAGGCACCCACCAGAAAGATTATATCTGTGGTAATGACGGTTGTCAACTGGCGAGAGTTGGCTGACTGTGGTTTGAGCTCAGCTACAGAAAACAGGATCCTTCAAGAGCAAAAAATGGAAAGGGAGAAAGAAGCATAAATGGTAGAAAGGATCAATCCCGATGAAAAGAGAGAGTATGACTTAAGAGATTTATTAGAACCCATACATAATTTTTTTTTTTTAACAAATCGGCTGTATCCCACCACGGCAGAGTAACCTAAAAAGAAAAACAAAAGTTTTCATATTTAAAGTAAATCATACAGGAAAAGGTGTTACTAGCCCCTTGCTCCCGGCATTTTAGTCACATCTTACAACACACATGGCTTATGGAGGAAGAATTCTTCTCAATTTCCCCATGGAGAACACAGAAAATGCATCCTATATAAAAGCCCTAGGTACTGACATCACTCATAATTGCACTTTTGCTATTATTCATGTCATTCTTACTAAAACATTTCAAGAAGGATGGCAAGTCCATAGTTATGCAATAAATGGTTCCCAAAATATAAAAGAGAGAGTAGTTTCTTTGCATCTTGAAAGCATGTTGTGCACACAAGAGCCTTCAAACAATTATGAACTTACCATGGTGGCTGTGTGTGCAAGCATTAGCACATGCCACCCTAGCATATCACCACCAATACATACATACATTAGTAGACTTCAAATTAAAGCACACAAAATCTTATTGACAATTTCTAAAATCTATGGTAATCCTGTAAGGAAAATGTAAAGATTGCCTTGTAAGCTCTGTGAGACCATATCATAAAATGTTTTTTGCTACTCATTTTAGTGCATTCTATAGTGTAGAATGTGCACTATGCCTTTTCTGCATTATATCTCCTATAATGTATAAGCAAGAATTTAAACAAGTTTACTTTTACTGTAAAGAATCTTACCTCCTCACCATTAAAGGTTTTGACTGGGAAACTTGGAATGTATTTCTGGATTGGAGCATCAAGATCCAGCTTCCCATCTTCCCACAGTTTAGCTACAACTGCCATAGTTAAAGATTTACTGATGCTGGCAATGCGCATTACAGTGTTGGGTGAACACCGAACATTGTTTTCTAGGTCAGCAAATCCAAAGCCTGGATGTAGAGCAGTAATAAGCAACTGTCTTCTAACTGTTCATTTTCTAGTGATAAGATAATAATAAAAAAAGTTCCTAAAAAAATTTGCCTTAAGGTTAATTACTGTATTTTGAAAAAAGTTATTCAGATATGTACAGTTTATGTGCACAAGAAACAGCATTTTTTTTTCCAATAAACTGGCCGTATCCCACCGAGGCAGGGTGACCTAAAAAGAAAAACAAGTTTCCCTTTTAAAATTTAGTAATGTACTATACAGGAGAAGAGGTTACTAGCCCCTTGCTCCCAGCATTTTAGCCACCTCTTATGACATGCATGGCTTACGGAGGAAGAATTCTGTTCCATTTCCTTATGGAGAATAATAATTGTTATTATTATAGTCAAGCCAAGTGATAAACTTGAAAGAGTGATACAGCACCAACAATCCAGCGGTTATCATTGTAGTTGTTAAAATGACTACACTGATAATATATATTTTAAAGCTTGTGTACCATATTTCCTAATACATTATACATACATATATGTTCATTATAAAAGTTGGGCTGGTAGAAGAACATTCAAACAGCCTCAGAGATAAATTTTCCTATTTTTCTTAAAGTTTTTTTTTATCTACTTCTCCAAGGATATGCATCCCTGCAATTACTCTGTAGGTGGACTCTACCAGAGATAGCAGAAATTTTCTTGCTTAAAAACCAAGAAAAAGTAAGTAGGTAAAATGTAATACTGTACAGAAAAAAGGGAACAGTGCTATACTATGCACTAAAGCTTATCCTTCACAACTCTGGGTAATCTTATATATTAAATAAATTTAAAATTGTTTGGTCAATAATATAATCACACAGGTAAAGATGGTTTAAGGGATACATGTACATATCTCTGTAAATTACTGACATAAAAAGGTTTCCAACAATTATCGTACATACCTACATCCTCCCAAGCTGTCTTGCCATCCACTGACACTGCTATAGTAAGGCCTGGTGCTCCACCCTCCTCCATACAATGTTTCAGAAGTTTACGAGACTTCTTTACAATCTCTTCAACACTAGTAATTTTTACTTCTTGAGAATTTGCACTACTTGAGGATGACTGATTTTCAGAGGAAATTTTTTCTGTGCCAACAACATCTTGACCTATTTGATCAGAATTCTTATTTTCCAAGAATTCCTCAGATGAGCCATTAAGTTTTGTGAAAGCAGCTGCTGAATTAAATGATAAATCTTTATCTGATACATCATCCTTGGTTTCACACAGTGCTGAACCCATGCCAAAGACTGCAGCAGTTCCCATGATTCCACATAGCATACCCATTTGATTTCTGTAACTGAATCTGCGTTTGCGATATTTTTGTCTTTCACGATTTATCTCAAATAAATAATGATTACTACTATTGCCTAGTCTGTGAATGGAACAGTCATTGGCTGTCTTAAAAGTGTGTTCTTGGTGAAAGTGGCGACTTCCTGGGATTAGAAAACATGAAGTCCTGTGGGGAGAAAAAGTTTACTGTAAGTTAAATTTTTTATAAAAACTTGATACATTATGAAAACTATACAATAAACCAGAAACAGAGGAGGGGTCAGTAATAACAGTTTTCTGAGTCAATTTTTCTAAAATTATTTATTTTGTACTTATACATTTAGAGTAAATGCTCTTTTTATAGGTAAAAAAATAATGTATTTCTTTCTTATTACAGTAACTTAAAAGCAATGAGTCACATGAGGAATACTTTAACAAATATTTAAGCATTTCTGCTTTAAAACAGTGATATTAAGAAAATTACAAACATTTAACCATTTACGAACAGCAATATCTATCTACCTTTCTTATTTAAAGATTTATTTATTATACTGATCAGGGGAAAGAATTAAATCCAAAAGGAGTCAGACAGCACCTGGAAAAACAGGAGGCAATAAGGCTCAATTCAAGAAGGGGAGGTTAGGTCCAATTCCTTAGAACAAGAATCTCTCACTAGCATCAATGAACCTCTCTTAAGGGGACATCCAAAGAAGAGCTCTTAAGGAGACATCTAAAGAAGAGCTCTTAAGGAGACAATTAAAGAGAGCTCTTAAGGAGACATCTAAAGAAGAGCTCTTAAGGAGACATCTAAAGAAGAGCTCTTAAGGAGACATCTAAAGAAGAGCTCTTAAGGAGACATCTAAAGAAGAGCTCTTAAGGAGACATCTAAAGAAGAGCTCTTAAGGAGACATCTAAAGAAGAGCTCTTAACCCTTTCAGGGTCCAAGGCCAAAATCTGAAGTCATGCACCAGTGTCCAAGAAATTTTGAAAAAAAAAAAAATTATTTTTTCTTACAGAATTAAAGAGCATATTTTTGTGAAGGTAATAAAACAAAAAAAATTAGAATCTGATCAGTACTTACCGAGATACAGTGCTAAGAAGTTTATAGAAAATGATGTGGTGGTGGCAACATCAACGAATTCCACATACGCGTATTATATTATTTTGTTGTTTTAGTTGTTTTTTTCTTTTCTTTTCCAATTTTTTTCTATTCCTACAACATTTGGGGCCTTGAGAGACCAATACTGTATATAATTGATATATATAAACTCCACTGTATTGAACCACAATAACGCATAAAGTTATTTATCATATTATTGTTTGCCACTGTTGTTTATTACAATATCAAACATGCACAAATTAGTGTATAATACTAAATGTTTTATCATATATTTACATATTTACAATCCACTGGACATTGCCTTTTAGAACTGCTGGAGCTTGTGGAACTCCTTGAAAACAAGGCACCATGCACAGAGGCACCTTACATTCCTCACACTAAAACGAGTTGTTTTGCGTCTTTGTTTGCCGTTCGTTTTGTCTTGTGCACAGACAATGCATCTCTTATGAGCAAATTTCTTTCGGAGTTGAAGGAAGCTGTTATTATGAAGATGATCACCTCTCTCCTCAAAACGCTTGGGTATATCGTGATGAATTCGAGGACCTTGTTGTAATTGCAGGTGTTGTATACCTGGTATTCATTATGAGTTGTCTGGACAACAGACAAACAAAATTCACCATTACGGTGGTCACTGTTACCAGTCTTATATTTTGGTACATATTATATGCATTCAGCATTGAAATGTCCATGAGATGGAAGAAAAGTTTCATGTACCACTTTTAACTCTTACGAACACCAGTCAAACTAAACAATCGCATGTCCCACACTTGTCAACCAAGCGCATGTTTTGTGTATATTCAATCACTGACACTGGTTTTTCGAATACGTTTCATTAGTCATCGATCAACTTTGCCACTCGTCTTGCATTTCATTACGGTGAATGGTTTGTCTAATAATTTTGACATCTCATTGTGTCATGCCACCGTAATGCCATGATTGTCATTGGCGTTAAACACCTGCTACGTCATCACCACGAACACCTGCATTGAAGGCTGGGGCATATGTTTACGATTAGAACGCACTGTGCACACACATCTGTCTTGTTCACTCGCATGAAATCACTGAGTAATGCGCTTGCCCCACCAGATTATCGGTATTATATTGTATGCCCTTACCATGATAGGTGCCATCATGTTTCTCACTCTGGTCACCTGAGATACCCAATAAATTTGGTATCTTTCAATGTTTTACTACCCATGTATACAAACAATATCAACACCAGGGCCACTGTTCACAATCACAGAGTCAAAACATTTGATACCAAAGCCGGTTCATCTTGCTCGGTATATACTGCTTGAATGACAGTCTACCTTTGAAAAAATCAAAGACTCGTCAATTACAAGATTCTTGAATGGATAAAGTATATCCTGAACTTCTGTTTGAGATCCATTGAAAAACATTTCTAATCTTGTATAACTGTCACTTCTGTCAGGCCTGGGTTTTGTCAGGAAGTGGCAACATACGTAACCAGTTAAATAAACCTGTTCACGGTATTTATTTCACTGAAGGATGCGGGTAGAAATTAGCATCTGTGGACCAGTATGCTTTTATATTATGCTTATAGCACGTGGGAGGCATAAGCATTATTGTTGCAAAAAAGCAAATAATTTCTGCAACAGTCGTCTCTTTCCACCTGTGTAGTCTTGACTGTGGTGATAAGATCGTATTTGCCATGGTGTACTGAAAAATACTTATTACTTTTCCCTGGCAATAATTTCCATCAATGGCTGGTCAGTATAATTCAATAATTCCAGTTCATTGGCCGTCGGTTCCAAGGGACAGGTAGGATAGAATTCCACTTTGAGAGTCATCAAGTGGTGAGGCTTGGGACAAAATTGGGATTTTGCTGCCAATTCCACTACGTTTTGGGTGGATACTGGAAATTCATAGGTGGTTTTACGGGCGGTAGTGGTTGTGGCGGGCTGTGGCTGGCGACGCTTCCGGTTTGTCCGTGAACTGACGAGTCAGGCAGCGTGGGTCCCCGCGTGGCACGGTGAGTCACGACCCCCCCTTGGCGAGTTTGCCACTACCACCACCAGCACCACTAAACACCATCCCCTGAGTCCTGTTGGCCCATCTCCATGCCCAAGTGTAAGCCACATCATCCTCACTATCATTACCTAAACGGGTTGTAGGGACGGGATGTACTTCGGGAGGTTTACCCGGGATGTACTCCGTCCCCTGGGCACAAGCATAGGTGTACACTTACCCGGGCGCGATGCGGCAGGCGGAACATACCGACGCTCTTAACTGTGAATATGATTCCTCACTATCACTCTCGAATGATCGTCGAGCGCAGTAAAATCACCATCCACGTCAGAATCATCGTCATTACTGAAGTCAGAGGCCTGGCCCACGCGAACAAATATTAGTTTTCTCTTACGTTTTTAGGAACACCCGGGACCGTGAGTCACGAGTGCCCACACCGAGGTAGAAGGTCGAGGATCGTTCTGGGTTTTCTGCCATTATCGATATCCTGGTCATTATTTTCGGTCACTAAACTTATCAAAGCCGTAGAATTCGTTTCATTTCACTTCCATCAGTGTCGGAAACTATAAGACAGGAAGAGGAGAGTCCCAATTTTCCGGGGAGTGAGAGCTGACCTTGCGACGGAGGCATGGATAACTAGGGTGTGACTGAGCGGCGTTCCCACAAGCTATGCAGGCGCCTAGATTTTTTGTTTATTTCGCACACCCACGGAGCAGACCCATTCTCTCACATGTAGGCCTATGAGCGCTTTCGCGCTAAATTTGACGGCGCTAGAATTTTGGCGTAGATCTACGGTTTGGACACTCACCGTAAAGCCGTAGATCTTCTGGGACAGACCCTGAAAGGGTTAAGGAGACATCTAAAGAAGAGCTCTTAAGGAGACATCTAAAGAAGAGCTCTGCTCCTGTAGCATCAGCTACAAGAGCAGAGCTTTACTCTTGGTGCTCACCTTCAATAATCTGCTCATCATATAATATATTAAGTTCCAATGGCTCTAGCAGAGAGTGCATATACAATGCTGTACTTTATACAGTGTACAAGAAGAATGTTAAGACAAAATATATCTAATGGTTCACAGTGATTTCTTATTCCTAATGTGAATTCTACTTAAGAGGGTAATACATAGATTATACGGTATCCCATACATTCTTGCCTTTTGTTTAACCCTTTCACTGTCGCAAGCCCATTTCTGAACATCCTACATCAAAAAATATTCGAAAAATAAAAAAAATGATTTTTTTCTTACCAAAATGTTGGGATTATTTTGCCAATTGTTTTAAGCCTAAAAATTTTTTTTTGTGATCATTACTTACTGAGATATAGAGACAAAGTTGGCAGAAAATGAGCCACGTATAGCAACAGCAGCGCATGCCACTCACCCGGTAATTTTTTTTTTACTCCCATTCAAAGGTTTCTTGCTTTTTCCACTACTTTATTTTTTCAGGTAACATATGTGGCCTGCGAGACCAAAGTAAGTTCAATGTGCATATATACACTTGTTGTATACAACACAATAAACACACAAACATAATTATCAATATATTGTTTACAAAACTTCTTTACACAAATACAAGTTTTTTTATTACTATTGTTCTATAATATATATACAAGTGTATAGTCACTGGACTGCAGATTGTGGAACTCTTGAAACATGGTTTCATACACAATGGTGTTTTACACTCCTCACGCATAAAACGAGTGCTTGCATTTTTGTGGGCATTTTTTTTTTTTGTATGTGTACTGACAAAACAACTCGTCTGAGCAGTTTTCTTCAAATTAGCAGCAGACAGTTATGTTAGGTAGTTATCCTAAGTAAATGGTCCTGTGTCATCATTCCTTCCTACCTACCTACCTTTCTTTCTTTCTTCATTCTTCCTTTCTTTATTTTTTCTTTCTTTATTCTTTCTTTCTTCATTCTTTCTTTCTTCATTCTTTCTTTCTTTCTCATTCTTTCTCCTTTCTCTTTCTTTCTTTCTTTCTTTCTTCTGGTATCCTGGGCATTGCTTTTGGTCACAAACTCCTCAAACCATGAAATTCATCTTCACTGACACTTCCATCTGTGCTAGATCTATCACTTGGGAAGAGAAGAGGCCCAGTTTCACTGGGGAGTCAAATATTTTTTACCACTAGGCATGCTGAACTACTGAAATGGCATTCCCACAATGCACCACTGGCTCCCCGATTTTTTTTATAATGTGCACACTGACCATGGGGACCCATTCTCTCACATATGCGCCTACCAGCTTTCTCCCGCTTGATCTGAAAGTGCTAGAATTTCTGCGTATTAATATGTTGGAAACACTGGCTTGTAAGACGTATATATACATGGCCGAAACAGTGAAAGCGTTAAGTAATATTAACAACATTGAAAAAAAAATCTTCATGTTGGCAGAACAATGTTATAACTGATCTACTGTATGCCAATATTTTATATATATATATGCACCCCAGGGAATAATTAAATACAGTGCTTGGAATGTCAAGTACTGTACTGAATTTCATACTGGTATATGAGCCAACATAATTCAAATCTGTAGTGGAGGGAAGGTAGGATAGGGGTCATCCTAGGAAAGGATGGAGGGAGGCTGCAAGGGGCTAGGACATACAACAGGCATGTGTGAGTGTGTTAGACAGGAGTGAATGGAGAAGAATGGTTTCTGGAACTTGACTGCTGTTGGAATATGAGCAGGGTTAATATTTTGTGAAGGTATGCAGGGAAACTGGTTAGCCAGACTTGAGTCCTGCAGATGGGAAGTACAATGCCTACACAATAAAGGAGGGGTTTGGGATATCTGCTGTTCACAGTGATATCTATACTGTTGTATGTGTGTGCCTCTGGCAAGACAGTGATAGTGTGAATGATGGTGACAGTGTTTCTTTTTTGGGCCACCCTACCTTGGTGGGAGACAGCCAGGGTGTAAAAAAAAAAAAATAAATATTAGCTTCATATCTATTAGTATACCATTTAAATGAGACCTTATCCAAACTACTGGTAACAGTAATAAAAAGAAACATGTCAGATAGCATTTTACTTCACCTGAGAACCTTGGTGGTTTGGAAACACTGTTTTCCAAAGTGTGCAATATTTGGTGTGCAAATATTGTGGAACATCTTGCATCTGCTTCTGCAACATATAATTTTTAGTAACTGAATCAGATAGATGTACACTATACTTATAATTATTAGTATTTATTATTATACTGGAATAGTTGGATTACTGACAAGTATGGTGAATGGATACTATTTACAGACAAAATCTTAAATACGTACAGTATTGAGGGCTGTGGCTCCACTGATTTTTTAATATCTCCAATGGTGTTCACAGGTGACAATCACAATGTTCACATCATTCAGGTGAGTGAAATGGAAAATTTGGTTGGCCACATAATCAGTTGGAAGGATAAGTTACTACGTACTTGTGTTGTCAGTTCAACTGTCAATACAAAGAACAGGGTATTCTCCAAAATCCTCTCAACTGACTATGGCAAACAAACTCATCCTTCCAACTAGTGCAGTGGCCAACCAAATTTCCCATACGATCTACTTTCCCCTCCCAGAGTGACATCAACAATGGCACTGTCACTAATAAAACCATTCAGAATATTACCAGACTCGTGACCTGCAGCCATACTAATAAACCAGGCATCTGTGGAATTCCCTGTGGTTGGTGTGTTACAGTATATGTACACTGGTAAGACTATAAGGAGGCTCTGCACAGTCTCTTGAACAGTAATACACTTGCAAGACATATAACCAGAATAATACCCGTATCATTAATAGGAAGCAAACAGTTACATCAAATGGAGTGGACAAAGTCTGGAATGATTATCTATGAGGAAAACAGGATAAGAACATAATGTTTAAAGGCAGAACACTTAGACCTCCAATACCATCTACCAGAACTAAGAAGTATTTAGCACTGCAAAACCTCTAAATAAATTCATCTTCAAATGTCCTTGAAAGCACACTGTGCAAGCATGCTGCAACTGCACTACTCTACTTATATCTCAATCATAATTTTTGTACAGTAATGTATGTACACTGTTTTGTCATGTGTGCCATGTATTGACAGAGTATGGCATTTCAAATTATCCTATGTAATTTACACAAATGTTATCATGTCAGGCAGTTGTAATCACCAAAAACTTGCATTAATTGCATTTACATGTAACTGTATCTAAATATGGACTGCCTGCACATATCAAAGCTTGTCCTAGCACGAGCCAGTTCAGGAAAAGCACTAAATGAATGAAGCTACAGAAAGGGAGCAGTGATTTCTTGTACAGCTAACATTCATGTACGTACCTATTATTGCAAGTTGATCCTGTCTTTAACCCTTAAACGGTCCAAACGTGTACTGCATATACATTCTCTTGCATAGCGCCCCAAATGTATATATATACGTTTCCTTTGTCATTCATTCAACATTGGCACGATATGCCTGAGTTGCCTAGACATGAGAGAATGGGTGTGTGCACTCAGTGTGCACCATATAAAAAAAATTTGGGACGCCTGGGTACCACATGCTCTTTTTTCCTAATAAATTTTTTTTTTTTCTCAAAAAATTTGGGGCACTGCGCGAGTAAACGTATATTTACGTTTGGACCATTGAAGGGTTAATGTTAATGCAAATAACTCAGTTTACCTTATTCCAAGTATATCTCTGTGGATAATCTTAATAAATTTCCTATTATTTAAATGTAATAATTGGTAGGGATAATTGTGTCATATAATAATGCAGGTGTGCAATGTTAATGTGACTTTTAAAGGGTGATAAGTCACAGTAATATTCCCTATAATTTCCTTGTACATATAATGTAATAAGTTAAAGGCAGTGCATCATTGAAATACTGTCTTATTTTCATTGAGGTCCTCTGTCTTTTCCCCCACGATATGACCCACACCAGTCGACTAACTTCCAGGTACCTACTTGCTTGCTAAGTGAGCAGGACAACATGTAAGGAAACACGCCCAATATTTCCACCCTTACCAGGAATCAAACCACGGACACTCAGCGTGTGAGAGCATTGCCTACCAGGCCACGGGCTGTCCCCCCAAGGGTGTTCTGTAGTTCAGTTGGTAGCGCACTAAACTCACATACTGAGGTCTGTGGTTTGATCCCCGGTACAGGTGGAAACATTAGGGCATGTTTCCTTAAGTAAGTTTATTCAGGTATACACAAATACAGTTACATAGATTATCATACATAGCAGCATATATGTAAAGCACCTAGGATAACCCAAAAAAGTCAGACAGAGTGACATTTCCATTGGGGTCCTTTAGTAAGTAGATACCTGGGCATTAGTCGACTGGTGTGGGTCGCATCCTGGGGACAAAACTTGAAAATGAAAAAGTTTATTTCCTTGCAAAGCTTACAATGTATGGTTTACATATTATAAAATATTAATTACAAAGAAGGCCTCTAGTATGCCTAGGCATGTTGGGCATTTGCCCAAAATGCTCTGCATAACAAGGGGCTTTCTATATAGTATGTCACTGATGTCAGATAGGACTGTATAAGCTGTATCATGTATGTACTTTTAGAAATAATTATTATTATTATTAAAGCCATCATCATGATTCACAGAATCGTAATAAGAGTGGTTTGTTTGTAATCGTATTATTATGATTTCATGAGTCATGTTACAGTGGACCCTCGCCTAACGAACGTATCGCATAACGTTAAATCTGCCTAACGAAATGCTCGAGGGTAAAAATTTTGGCCCGCATAACGATAATAAACTCGCCCAACATGATTCGTCCGGGACCTGTCCACGTGTGGCCTGAGCGCGCCTCAGCTGCCCCATGGGTGCCAGTGTTTACAAGCCAGCCAGTGTGGTCGCATCTATGCATACATTTGGTATATTTCACATTATCCCAGTGTTTTTAGTGCTTGTAACTGCAAAATAAGTAACCATGGGCCCCAAGAAAGCTTCTAGTGCCAACCCTGTGGTAAAAAGGGTGAGAATTAGTATGGAAATTAAGAAAGAGATAATTGCAAAGTACGAAAGTGATATGTGTGTGTCTCGGAGCTGGCTAGGTTGTATACCAAACCCCAATCAAGCATTGTTACTATCTTCGCCAACAAAACGGCAATCAAGGAAGCTGTTCTTCCAAAAGGTGCAAGTTTGTTTTGGAAACAGATTGCAAGTACTCGAAGATGTTGAGAGACTGTTATTACGTGTGATGTGGAGGGCAAACAGTAAGGCATGGGTCACTAGGGACTGTTTCTATGACTGGTTTCACCATGTGTTTGCCCCCACTGTGAAAAATTACCTCCTGGAAAATAAATTGGACCTTAAGTGCAGAGCGAATTTCTGGGGACATGAGCTATATCAAAGTGAAGTTTTTGCCTCCTAATACCACTCCTCTCCTGCAGCCCATGGACCAGCAGGCCATTTCAAACTTCAAAAAACTCTGCACAAAAAGCTATGTTTCAAAAGTGCTTTGAAGTGACCTCAGACACTCGAATGACCCTAAGAGAGTTTTGGAAAGATCACTTTAGTATCCTCAGTGTGTAAACCTTATAGGTAAGGCTTGGGAGGGAGTGACTAAGAGGACCTTGAACTCTGCTTGGAGGAAATTGTGGCCAGAATGTGTAAAAGAGAGGGATTTTGAAGGGTTTGGGGCTAACCCTGAGAAGCCTATGCCAGTTGTGGAATCCAATGTGGCATTGGGGAAGTCCTTGGGGTTGGAGGTTAGTGAGGAGGATGTGGAAGAGTTGGTGGAGGAGGACAATGAAGAACTAACCACTGATGAGCTGCAAGAGCATCTGCAACAGCAAGAGGCCACACCTGAGGAAACTGCTTCAGAGGAGGGGAGAGAGAAATTGAAGAAGTTGCCTACTTCAAAGATTAAGGAAATGTGTGCAAAGCGAGTTGAACTGCAAACCTTTATGGATGAAAATCACCCTGACACAGCTGTTGCAAGCTGTGTTGGCAACCTGTACAATGACAATGTTGTGGCCCATTTTAGGGAAATCTTAAAGGATCGCAAGGTACAGAGCTCTATGGACAGATTTGTTGTGTGACAGAGGTCCAGTGACTCTCAAGCTGGTCCTAGTGGCATTATAAAAAGAAGGGAAGTAACTCCGGAAAAGGACTTGCGTTGACCCCCGGAACTCTCTCCAGGTAAACCTCAAGTCCTCATGGAAGGGGATTCCCCTTCCAAACAATAACTTCCACCATCTTCCCTCCTCCCATCCCATCAATCATCACCAGATCTTCAATAAAGGTATGTGTCATGTATTCTTTATTTAGTACAGTACATAGTAATTGTGCATGTCTTCTTCTTTTTGTGGTAAAATTTGTTTTGTTTTCATACTTTGGGGTGTCAGGAACGGATTAATTTGATTTCCATTATTTCTTATGGGGAAAAGTAATTCAGCTAACGATAATTTCGTCTAACGATGAGCTCTCAGGAATGGATTAATATCATTAGGCGAGGGTCCACTGTACTTATGTACGATAAGTTTTTTATATATTTATTAACACATAGGCCATTTCTCACTAGGGCACGGTGGCCCAAAAAAGAAAAACTTTCATCATTCGCTCCATCACTGTCTTGCCAGAGGCATGCTTACACTAGTTATAAAACTGCAACATTAACACCCCTCCTTCAGAGTGCCGGCACTTTACTGTACTTCCCATCTCCAAGAATCAAATCCAGCCTGCCGGTTTTCCTGAATCCTTTCATAAATGTTACCTTGCTTACACTCCAACAGCCCTTCAAGTCCTAAAAACCATTTGTCTCCATTTGCTCCTATTTAACATGGTCACGCACACTTGCTGGAAGTCCAAGCCCCTCACACACAAAACCTCGTTTACCCCCTCCCTCCAACCTTTCCTAGGCCGACCCCTACCCTGCCTTCCCTCAACTACAGATTTATATACTCTTGAAGCCATTCTATTTTGTTCTATCCTCTCAACATGTCCAAACCCTCTCAATAACCCCTTAGCCCTCTGGATAATAGTTTTGGTAATCCAGCACCTCCTCCAAATCTCCAAACTATGGATTCTCAGCATTATATTCACACCACACATTGCCCTCAGACATGACATCTCCACTGCCTCCAGCCTTCTCCTTGTTGCATCATTCACCACCCATGCCTCACACCCATACAAGAGCATTGATATAACTATACTCTAATACATTCCCCTCTTTGCTTTCATGGATAAAGTTCTTTGTCTCCACAGACTCCTCAGTGCACTACTCACCTTTTTCCCCTCATCAATTCTATAATTCACCTCATCCTTCATAGACCCATCTGCTGACACGTCCACCCCAAATATCTGAATACTTTCACCTCCTCCATACTCTCTCCCTTCAATCTGATATCCAATCTTCCGTTACCTAATTTTTTGGTTACCCTCATCACCTTACTCTTTCCTATATTCACTTTTAATTTCCTTCTTTTACACCCTACCAAACTCATCTACCAACCTCTGCAACTTCTCTTCAGAATCTCCCAAAAGCACAGTGTCATCAGCAAAGAACAACTGTAACAACTCCCACTTTGTGTTAAAATTCTTTATTTTTTAACCCCACACCTCTTGCCAACACCCGAGCATTCACTTCTCTTAGAATATTGAACAACCATGGTGACATTGCACATCCTTGTCTACGACCTACTTTTACTGGGAAATAACCTCCCTCTCAGCTACATACTCTAACCTGAGCCTCATTATTCTCGTAAAGACTCTTCACTGCTTTTAATAACCTACCTCATATTCCATACATTTGCAATATCTGCCACAATGCCCCCCTATCATACACCTTTTCCACATCCATAAATGTCACAAAAACCTCTTTACCCTTATCTATATACTGTTCACCTATACGTTTCACTGCAAACACTTGGTCTACACACCCCCTACCCTTCCCATAGCCTCCTTGTTCATCTGCTATCCTCCTCTCGTCATAATCTTTAATTCTTTCAATAATAACTCTACCATTCACTTTACCAGGTATACTCAACAGACTTATTCCCCAATAATTTTTACACTCTCTTTTGCCCCCTTTGCTTTTATACAAAGGAACTATGCATGCTCTGCCAATTCCTAGGTATCTTACCCTCTTCCATACATTTATTAAATAAAAACACTAACCACTCCAAAACTATATCCCCACCTGCTTTTAACATTTCTATCTTTATCCCATCAATCCCGGCTGCTTTACCCCCTTTCATTTTACCTACTGCCTCACAAACTTCCCCCACACTCACAACTGGTTCTTCCTCACTCCTATAAGATGTTATTCCTCCTTGCCCTATACACGAAGAGGAATAATATCATACAGGAGTGAGAACCAGTTGTGTGGGGCTACGTGCGTGGGGCAGTGGGTAGAATGAAAGGGATTAAAGCAACTGGGATTGATGGGATAAAGATAGAAATGTTAAAAGTAGGTTGGGATATAGTTTTGGAGTGGTTAGTGTTTTTATTCAATAAATGTATGGAAGAGAGTAATATACCTAGGGATTGGCAGAGAGCATACATAGTTTCTTTGTATAAAGGCAAAGGGGGCAAAAGAGAGGGGAATAAGTCTGTTGGGTATGCTTGGTAATTTGTAAACCTGTATTTAAGTGTACCTGTACGTAAATAAGCTAACTTACTTAATAAATTTATGTACGTGTACCTAAATAAACTTACACTCTTCTTTCTTCTTCCTGGGTTTGTAAGGGCCACTGACAGCTTAAGCCGTATCAAGTCCTCCTTCCCGATGTATGGAGAAGAGATGTTGCCCAAAGCTCGGCGATGAAAGAAAAGGGAATAGGCGTTGTAAATTGTGAGTTCATTACCTCTGTAACTTGCTCAGCTATCAAAACTTTGGAGTCCAGTCCCTGGACCAATTATGTACCTTTGTAATCTTTTGACTACCGCCCACAGGATGGGTATGGGATGCATAATAAACATATTAAACTTAACTTGTATAATACAATACAACTTTGTTTTTCTGGAGTATACAAAATGAAGTTTACGTTGTAACGTGCAGTTTTTTTAATGTACAAAAAGTCGGTTTGGATTCAGGAATAATAAAAGCACAAATGATGCTATTATACACATGCTAGAACTAATATCTACCGCTCTCGAGAAGAGAGAAGTCCCTCTGGGAATTTTCATTGACTTACGTAAAGCTCTTGATACAGTCGACCATGAATTGCTGCACACTAAATTAACACACTATGGTATAAGAGGCCACTCCCTCAACTACCTGAAGTCATACCTTAGTAACAAAAGCCAATACGTGTACGCAAATGGTGCAAACTCTTCCACACCACCATCAGAGTAAGAGTCC